TATTGGAGCTTGTAAGTACAGAAATGGATAACACCTGGAGAAATGAAGACTTATCAACTCCCCAGATTTATTTGGCAATATTGATTTTGTATGAATTTATTCTTCAGTGCACACATAGTGCATATTTGAAATGGAACATGGTTGATTTTTGAGAAGTTGCAAAGTTTGCAGTTTACTCAGTTTGATTGAAATCGATATTTTCGAACATGTTGGTTGATTTTTTTTTCATACAAATGAAACGAATTAGATTTCTTCGAAGGTTTGTTGAAATTTGTCCTAAGAAGACTGAGTTATTCCCCTTTAAATGAGTACCTTGGGCAGGAAATTAAAACACCTTGCACTCACACAGCCAGCAGTACAAAATACCCCATCTGGTTACCCAGCCACGAGAGCGACTGTAACGGACTTCTCGGACCAGGTGACCAGAATGCATAATTTTCACGGACGCATTATTGCGCCAAGTAACCTCAAAGTTAAGTCTAAAACAGCACCTGGACATGGATGGCTGGTGCCTCTATAAATAAATGTGAGGCATCGTAGTGTAATCAGGCTCTCGTCAATTTTTGGGCATGTAGAGTTATTGGTATAATCTTAAAGCTTGTTTACTTGTCTTTATGTGGATGAAAAAAATATCCATTTATATTGAATACAAGTTGAGAAATTATCAGATGAAGGATACAGCTGAAATGAAAATTTTTGTTTGGGCTCTAAATTAAGTGTACTGGGATTCCCAATAACCAATATGGGTCAAGAAACAAAAACACACTATCCCTTTAAAACAAAGAACAATTATTTTGTACTGAATTCGTGCTTTCACCGGGAGCAATTGTAGTTGAATTAGCATTGGTGTTATATGCTCTTTGGGAGATTTCTTTAAAATTATGCGAGTAGCTTGGTTCTGGAGTCGCTGTAATCTATTTAACGTTTCAGTGGGAAAGTTTCCAAACAAAGAATTGCAGTAGTCTAGATGTGAAAGGACAAAAGAAGAGATGAGGGTTTTGATGGA